GAACTTTAAAATTGACTCGATACTGAACAGGTAGCCAATGTAAAGTATACAGTACAGGTGTTATATGTTCGTATCTGGAAATATTGCAAATTAGTCTGGCAGCAGAGTTCTGTACACGCTGTAGTTTGTTTAGATGGACGGATGGTAAACCATACAAGAGGCTGTTGCAATAGTTTATGCGCCCAATGATAAACGCATGAACTAAGGTTTTTGTTGCTGCGTCAGATAGATACTTTCGAATATGTCTGATGTTATGAAGTTGAAAATGTGCAGCCCTACAAGTTTTATTGATATACATGCAAACACCCAGGTGATCTCGTGTTCGTATTTTAGCCAATCAGCGTTCAGAAAGGGTTGTCCGAATAGAAATCCATTTTGATGTATTCAGTCAATTATATCTTTCGTTATTCTTTATGAAACTAGTTGAAATTTTGTAATTATGTTTGGTTATGAGAACTATAGCTCTGACAAAAATATGGAATCGAAATAAAGTATATTACTGGAGATATTCAGTTGTTTTAATCATAAAATGGACTTCTATTTGACAACTAGTGCCAGTACTTTTCCGCGTATCAAGATCATCTGGACTCTATAGCTGGAATCATCCATTACCTTTTCATCTTCATTCTTCCCCTCCTTGCTTCCACCACGTTCATCAGACGTCGGTTCCCTCATCTCTTCTTCATCGTCAACGTCTTTCATTGCAGCATTCACGTACGCTTCTTGATCGGCCTTCTCCTTCGCGAGTTTCTCTTCGTGTTCAATGGTGGAGGCCAAGAATATTTCACGTTCTATCTCGTATTCTTTGGAAAGATCTGCCTCCTGTTCGATGGCGGCAGACAGTGCTTTCTGATGTTCAACATCGGAAGCGGTTAAGCCATCTTCGTTATCCGTGTCCACGTCAGAGTCCACATTCAGTGGGCTTAAGAATCCTTTCAATGTTTCAAATTTATCGCTCTTTTCTGTGGATAAGCCTTTCATAGCCCTAAACATTGATGCCATTGTGTTACAGTCAATTCAAAATAGGTCGTCCTTTGAAAAACCTTAAACTCTAAACCTTACACTCTAAGCGCGCAAAACTCAATGGCCGGGAGCACAAGTTTGAAGCTTAGTAGTTGAATATTGCAGGTATTTGTGAATGAATTGTTCTCATAAGGAGATATTTACTATGTCTCTAAGAAATGGACCCCATATATGATTTCTAAACTGATTAAATGATGCTCCCATTATGCTTTGCACGCTTAGAGTTTAAGGTTTTTCAAAGGACAACCTTTCTTGAATTAGCTGTATATTAAGATCCATCTACAAGACACGATGTAAAACGATTTCTGATGTTAAAAGTTTGCCTGATCACGGTTGGAATAGAACCCGTCAGCTTAGGGTCAAAGCCCTGCAAACTGAGCTACGAGGTGAAGTCGGGTGTGTGGTATTTCGAAACAATAAGTCTAGTACCTTCGATACCAATGTGTTCTCATGATCATGATATTTCTTGTGTGTGTTTTGATGTTATCCCTGGTTATTTATCCACCTATGTAGGTAACCAGGTAGACCTGGTCCACTCTCCTCCGCAGAGTCAATTATATAGGATTGTAGGGGGGTGAGACCGATGGTTGACAAAATCCCATCATACCTAGCGCGTTTTGACTAACAATTACATATAACATATAATATTACTTGTTTTCCAAGTAATATTACGTAATTTTACTAAAAATTCGTAAGGCTCTGCGGAGGAGAGTAGTCCTGGTCAGATTAACCAGACTACAGTTTAGGGAAAAGGTTAAAATATACCAGGAAATTTAACTAGGAATATTAAAGTGGAAGTCAAGTCCGTTCTGCGCATCGGTTCTGCTCATAACAATGTGAGGACCTCTAATGTGAACATTGCCCAAATTTCGAATGTTTCGAATTTTTTTGAACATAAACTCTATTTCATATTCATTTAGAAGCATAGCGAACCAAAATGGTGTTAGATATTCAGACAGTACATCATATTTTAAAAAATACAGCAGTTCAAAATGTAAACAAACCGTTTGTTTACATTACGGACTTGACTTCCACTTTAAGTTAACCCAAATAAGGTTTATTTCTAGGTTACAACCAGGACAATTTTAACCAATGTGTTTTTAGAATGAAGCAAAGAAGTACCAGACCGTAATATTGGCGTCACTCCGGTACGTAGCCGTTTTTTTCAGGGATTTTTTAGGGCCGTTAAACGGCCCCAAAAACTCAATCTTGAATTGAGTTTTGAAACTCAATCTTCTCACCAAAGTTTCAGTGCAGTAAAAATGAAGTTGTTTGAGTTAAATTTCGTACGTGTGGAAATTAGTTTTCAGTTGGAAGCCCGACAATTAAGAAAAAATGGCTGGAATTCATCTCACAACACAAGAAAAACTATGCATTCGCAATCTTTAACTAGTTTATAGTGTCCCTCAGCTCGTCCCTCAGTGCCGCTGCTTTAACACATTCCGTCTCAACTACATTTATTGAGTACAAGTGTCAGTCCACCGGTGGTGCCTCCCCAGCTGTTCAGCTAAACTCAATCTTCTCTGCAAAAACGAACCCAAGAGAAAATCCTGGAAAAAAACCCTGGTAGTAATCCCACCCTGAAGTACACGTACCTATTTTCATTTAACTCCGACAACTCCTTATCTTCGATGGATTCCTGGCGTATAATAGGAGAAACGCTTTCATCAGCATCACAGGTTACATTCCCAGCTAACGCCTCCACCCCATTTGCCAGAGTATCATCGCCCGATGTAACTGGTTTACTATCAACTATTGCTGGACCATTATCAGCCGCTGACCCGTTATCCTCGTTGACCGAGCTACGATCTTTCTCCGCGGGGATTACTCGTTTCAATATCGGCTGTAGATCGCCGCTTGCCGTAACAAATCCTTTCACTCTTGGTTCCCCTCCGTAATCATGTGAAATATCACGCGATTCACTACTACATTCACTGCTACATTTCTCGGGCGTCCTGTTTTTCTTGCTATAGCAAACAGTCTCCCAACCCTCTCCGTCTTCCTCGACTTTCAAGTTCTGTTCGTGAATCGCAACAAAACCATTCTGTTTCACGACACTTTGCACCGTCTCCACTTCAACCGAGGCTGTCTGTTATAATAAAAACACATGAACACACTATGAATGCATGAATACACTATACACAATCTATTTAAAAAAAAATCCTGAAACTTTGTTCGGAATAACATTAGTTTCATATCAGGGTTTTCCAGTTGTGAGCGGGACAGGTAAAACAAGTTTTTTAACAAGGCCAAAAAAAATATGTGGGTTTCCGGTTTCCCGACCCTACCTAGCTTTTGGACGCCGAAATCCAGACTCTAAACTTTTTTATTGGATCATGTTTGTAAGTGTTTCCACTTAGAGGAAAACGTTTGTGAAAACTAGAAATTTTAGGCAATATTAGGGAAATTTATCTTTGAATGTGGAAGCACTGAGTAAACAAAATGGCGTCCGGTTGTTTGGCAAATTTAAAAAAAAGTTAAAAAAAAGAGTTAAAATCGACCTACCCTACCTACGTTTTTACAAGAAATAGGAAACCCACATATTTTTATTTTGGCCCAAGCAACTCATCGCTCGAAACGTTGAAGTTCTCCTTACATTTTTCAGGTAGTTCTATCTCTCTCAATCTGTATATAGCTATTAAATGCGTATATTACCTGGGCTTTTACGGATGATTCACAAGAAATTGTTTTTTTCCCTTTAACTCTGTCGGCCCAAGATATGATATTGCTTTCTGTCATTCCTTCCGATCCAAACTCCAGAGTTCTGACAGCGTTCTTAGCGAACACTGGTGGAGGACTGGGAGCAGCGTTCTTCCCTGGAGATAACTTACGTACTGCCCAAGCCAACGACTGTGGTCTAAATAAATTGGAATATTTATAGACAACAACAACGACAACGACAACGACAACGACAACGACAACGACAACGACAACGACAACAACAACAACAACAACAACAGCAGCAGCAGCAGCAACAACAACAACAACAACAATTTCATTTGAATTGTGTCAAGTAGAACTGATTTATTCGGATGGTCTGCACAGTGCACAATTCAAAAGAAATCAAGCGAAATATTTCGAATTCTTTTTTCCTGCAAGTGCATGGAAATCTTCCCTTAGGCCTGTTTTGTACGTTGAATTTTGGTCGCGTCGAATGCAATTAAGACAATAGATAATAAACCTCATTAAGCTTCATTATCTATTGTTTAAATTGCATTCGACGCGACCAAAATTCGATGCATAAAACGGGCTTAAGTCACAGCTTATTACCATTATCATTATCATTATCATTATCAAAACTTTATTTAATGAGGGATTACATTGATCACTTAATAGTATTCTCAGTTCCCAATGGCCCTCGATGTCTAATATGAAAAATCTTATTGAGAGTAACATTGACAATGAGTAATATTTTTACATTCGATACAGCGGAACTTATTAACGTGATCCACTTCATAATTCAATTGAAGAAAGTAGGTTTTGAGCTTCTTCATTGAGTGAATTTCAATATCTTTTAATTCGGATGGTAAAGAATTGAATAAACTTACACCACTGTAGGAAATCTTGGATTCTGGTTGGAATTGGATGATCCAATTCCAACAGATAGACGATCTGGTTGGAATTGGATGAGAGTCGCGAACAAAGACAAACAATTTACGAACTGATCCGGCGGCCAAGATGTTTTTAAAGTATTAAATACCATCAATATTTTTCTCACTTTGATTAGATTAAAAATAGGTATCCAATTGAGTTTACGGAAAACCACAATTGCGGCATTTCGGTTGCCTGCTCAAGAATTAGTCTCGCAGCACGTTTCTGTAATTTTAGTAGGCACGTAATTAGTTCGTTTAAAAAAATATTAGAACGCCCCACAGTGTGCTACAATATAGCAATAGTGTATAGCAAAATTGTATAATGATCTACCTCGTGATATTAAGAAAATTGACAACACGAAGACTACTAAATGACCTTTTTAGCAAAAACTATTTTAGCCATTACATTAACTATATGTATATAGCATTTATTTCTTTGTAGCGGAAGATCCCTTTTTAGGGAGCTATAATCAAGTGGAATGCAGCCGTGCTGATATGAACATCATAATATGACTCAGTATCGTTTGGAAATCCAGTCACACTGCTACCAACATAAAACTGAAGATTGCGGACTTCTTTATATTTCCCTTCAGCAATTTTGATTCGCTCAGCATCGGGATCGATCCGACCGCCTGACCATCAGGGCCAACAATATCAGCGATATATTTAGTGAGATAGCCTGTACCGCAACCCATGTCAAGCACTTTGTCTCCCAAGGAGAGGTTTAAGTCACAGGTAAATTGACTACCTGCTTCGATTTGTGGTCCACTGACTTCATCATAAGCTTTAGCATTCGCATCGGCCTCCATTTTCGCAGACGAAAATCACAACATGGCGGCAGTACTTATAGTGTAGATATAAATCACAAACATTTCATGCATGTATGGTTTCATCATACTTAATTAACTAGTGTCATATTTATGTAAAATACCATAGTTAATATAGAGGTCTTCTATATTAACTATGAAAATACTTAGCTTTCATTTTGGCTCATAAAGGTCAAGAACAAATACACGCACAAATTGTCCAAACTTAATGGAACAGCTATAACAGTTACGATTTGAGGTTTGCCGTAAACGCCAATCTTTAACTCGCTAATTCTGTAATCCGTATATACCACTGAAATACACGCAATTCGAGACCGAGCTGAAGCCTATTACATTAGACGAAAGTCTTCTAGACTATTATATAGGTACAAGCAGGGACACATATAGATGAATCACTGCAGTGTCCACGCAAGATAGACAACTACAGAGTCAGAGAAATTTGAGTAATGTTCACTCCGCCCGCTCGGGGCGGTATATACCACTGAAATACATAGAGCTGTGCGCCGGAGTACTGGAGCCGGACCTCCGGCATATTTTGCCGGAGTTGGAAAACTCTGGCAAAATCTCCGGGAGACAAAATTATGAAAAATTATTTCATATTTCAACGAACTTTTGGTAAAATTAAGTTGAATGATTTGAAGTTACTACAAAGTTTAATTACTTCGGCTCCGATCCGATTCGTGGCTTCGAAAATTCTGCAAGCACATTGCTATCGCTTTTGATACAAAAATCCGCTGACCCCGATGTATTTTGGGCAAAAATACCACGCTGCCATGCGGTTTTACTTTCTACAAAACACTGTTTAAACAAGCCCCGAAGCACATATATTTGATAAGTAAAGGAGAAAGCTCAAAAAGGAATAAAATTCTGAAATTACACTGAAATACTTTCGCCTGCTTCTACTTTTAAGTATGAAATTTTCTTGCCGGAGCCGGAGTTTTGACTGCCGTAGAAATAAATGCAATTCAAGTCCGAGCCGAAGCTTATACATTGGACGAAAGTCTTCTAGACTATTGTAGGTACAAGCAGGGACCACTGATCTATATTAAATCAGTGACAGGGATAT